TTGGACACTGAGCTTTATTGTTGATGTAATAGACGTCTGTATCGAACATCGTGAGAAGGTAAAGTCTAATAACCAGCCACAGTATTGGATCCCACTTGTGGATTTAAGTAACTTGATTTTAGAACAATCAACTCAAAGTCTGCAATGTTATATCGATGCAACATGTAAGGAGCTGTGCAATAATGATAGCCTAGGCACAAATAAGAACGTCAAGAAGTTCAACAGTATTGACAGTCTTCTTAGAGCGTTCAAAGTCAGCATGAAGTTTGACAATCTGCTCAACGATGACGGGACTAGGAGACGCGTTCTAATGCAAGTGTTGGAGAAACTTGTTAGTTTTGCGTACAAATTAATGAGCAAGAAGAATGAACTCGGTGACGAAGATGTCGTAAAAACTGTTCTCATGGTCGTATCTATAGTTGCTGAGAGCCATAATTTTTTAGATGAGCCTAACGGAAAAGACATTGTAGAGAAAATTGTATCGATATTCTGGGGCATATTTAGCGTCTACTCGACAAGAGAACCCACGATTAATGGACAAGCTGAGAAGGTAACCTGTCAATTCATACGTTCGCTGTCAAGAGAACATTTCCAGAACGTTTATGAAAGCACGCATGGGATACTCAGAAAGTTGATTCTCAAACCAAAACCTGGAGATATCGATACGGTCATTATATTGATCGATATAATGATTAGAGAGTCAAAAAATGCAAATAGACTCATAGTCAAGAAGAACCTTTCTTTATTGATAAGTCATTTATGTAATATTGATCAGTGTGAAACGAGCGACAACACTATAATACGTGTATTAAGCATATTTACGTATCTATGTACACAAAGAGACTTTATATCATTAAGTTTGGAAATTGCTGGTGTGACTTCAACGGTTCACTCACTGCTGTCTAATTACGACTCGAGAGAACAGAGGAATTCTGCGTCAATATTCAATAGTGCCTGTGATTTGCTACACGCCATGTTCAAGTACCGTCGGTCGGAAATTATGAGGACACTCCCACCGGTTACTGCTATTATCTATATTCTTCTCAACGCGTTTAAACGCCCATCGACAAGCAGTCTGAGTTCAGAGACACTGACATTCAGAACAAAACTCAATATATCCAGTTTGAGTGGAGAGGTCACAATAAAATCGGCACAGAAATTAGCAAGATTATTCGCAGAAATACCGCAAGAGACTACATCCGCATCAAGTACCTCGGAAGATAACAGGACTAGGTCAAGTGAACTGTCAAAGGCTTTCAAGAAACATGTTTCATTCATACTAATTGAGTACATGAAAGTACTTGTCGAAGGCATAGAGAACAAGGTCAAGGAGACGCTTAATATAGGTTTGTTTTCATTGATGGATCTGTGTACCGAACATGAGAGAGATTTGGTAATGAGTAGTTTGGGTAGAGTTGCTCAGACAGTGTTCAAAGAATTCTGGGCTGAATATGTCAAGGAGTGGAAGTATACGGGAAAAGCTTAGTGTCATAACAGGGTAGATTGTTAGATGGGGAATTGCTAATTGTTTAATTAATAAAGCAAGCTTTTTACATAAATGTCAATCTGGCCGTTTGGTAATTAGCAAACATCTGCTTAACAAATTAAATTCGAAATAAGCACCATTAGCAACCGTCTGGGCTCTGACAACAATTGCGTCAAATAAAAGAAATGCACAACCATTCTTTTCAATTTCAGTATAAAGGTGCAAAATATTAAATTTGTCGCTAGAGTGTGTAAATACAAGAGCTTTTACGGAACCCTATTACCAATATAATCGAGGTTTTTCTTGTCTTTCTATGCCTCGATTTCTTTATCAAATATAGTACGCGTCAGTCACGGATTAGTTTTCCAATTGCCAGTCACGTTAAATAAAAAACTATCATAATCGGCAAAATGTTTGCCATCGCTAATATCACAGTGTTCAAATGCCTCCCTAGGAAAAGAATGAAGTTCTCCCTCTCAATTTATTGATAATAACGCCATTCGCGCTCTCGTGTACAATCTGCTTTGCAGATTCTCAACGAATTAATGTCGACTTGCCGAGACTGACTGCCCAT